ACAGGGCTATAAGGTGAAGAGTAATATCAGGAGGGTATGCACTCATTAGAACAATCAAGCATGTGAGATCAAGAGGACAGCATTTGCCCAGGGATAGAGCTAGGAAGGTAGGAGAGGATATGGAAGGAAGGACAAAGGGAATGGGTAGGCACAGGGAGGAAGTGGGAAGAATGTTGTTACAGTGTGGTGGTGGTGGTTGTTGTTGTTATGTGCCGTCGAGTCGGACCTGACTCATAGCAACCCCTCCTTGTGTTTCCGAGGTGGTATCACTACGGAAGTAGATTGCCCAACCTTCCTTCCAAGGAGTGGCTGGTGAGTTTGAACCGCCAGCCTTCTGGTTAGCAGTCAAGTGCCAGTGTGGAGATTGCAGTAAATGTCACAAAACAGAATGTGTATGGATTGTTAAATGGAAAACCAATTTGCTTTGAAATCATTCACCCAAATCACAATTGAAAGGGAAAAAAAAAAGGTATTAGTGTGGAAAGAGCTTTAAAGGCCAAGTCCAGATCCTCTTTCCTCTGGCAAGTCCATTATCCCTTTTCAAAGTTTCTCTGACATGTATTTTTTTCTAAGCATATCCGTCTATATGTATTTTAACCTGTATAAGCAACTCCCACTGATTATCTAGGACACATCACTGATGTTCCTTTTCTTGAGAGCTTCCTAGTATAAAACAGTTATTTTAGGAAGGTGGCTTTCTTGTTTTTTCTTTTTCCCTTTCTCTGTTTCGGTCTTGCTATATTTTGTTTTGTAATTCTTTGTTCAAATACAATCTTACCTGGAATGTTACTTTTTAACATCAGAGTCATTTGGCTGTTGGGAGAATGCCTCTGGGAATTTCTGGGCCTTTTCTACTTTAGAGTAGCCCCTAAATGCTTTGCTAGCTAACTTTTGAAGAAGACTGATATACACAAAAGTCTCTGGTGGTGCAAACTGTTAATGCAGTAGGCTGCTAAGGGAAAGGTTGGAGGTTCAAGTTTACCTAGAAACACCTCGGAAGAAGGGAAACTAAAGACTGTTTGGGGTAACATCACATAGTGCATCATACCTACCCACCAAATGCCCTTTGGAGTATAGCTTTATATACCATTCTATTAAATGCAAGATTACTAGACTGTTTGGTACAACCATTGTGGAAAGCAGTATGGCGATTCCTTCAAAAGTTGGAACTAGAAATAACATTTGACCCAGCTATTCCATTACTAGTTATATACCCTAAAGAAGTGTGAGCCATGACAAGAACAGACATATGCACACCCATGTTCATTGAAGCACTATTTACAATAGCCAAAAGATCGAAACAACCTAAGTGTCCATCAGCTGAGGAATGGATATCCAAACCATGGTACATACACACAATGGAATACTATGCAACCCTAAAGAATAATGTAGAATCTGCAAAACACTGCATAACGTCATGAACTTGGGGGACATTATGCTGAGTAAAATAAGTCAATTACAAAAGGACAAATATTGTATTAGTCCGTTATTGTAATAGTCAAGGAAACGTTTATCTATGGAAGGACATTTTCTTTGTTGGTTACTAGGGGTGGGAGGGGAGGGGAAGGAATACTGTT